GGCACTTTAGAGATATACAGCATAAGCACCAAACAAGCTATGACAGCGATATTAAATATACGGAAGGATGGCCGATTTGTAAAAGCACAAGAGAGATTCTAACTCGTAGAAAACTCTATTAAAATAGAGTGAACTAACTTTCCTAGCAACCCAGCAACTAATTGATTCAATAAAATCTTTCCTCTTCATGCCAGTGTAAAAGCGTGTCAAGGAGTAGTCTCAATGTGTTTCTTTCTTGGAAGTTAGCATCAGCCATACTGATGTGAGGCAAAACTAGTTCTGTAAAACCATTCAATAGGACAGCAGTTTGGTTTTGTACGTGTTAAAATTTCTAAGCCATTTCTTCCTCTACTTAACAAATCGTTGAAAATCATTTTCGAAAGCAGCTATTTTAATAAAGCAAATGCATGAATCAAATTATATCGTAAGAGTTAAGAGTAAAAAGTAATAATAATACAATAATAGTAAGAAGTCATAGTAATAAGTAATAAGTAATATTAATAAGTTAGAAATAAGAAGTAATAATAATAATACCCCACACACAAGACGCTAGTGGCCCGCTGGCAGGCCGCCGGTGAGTGGCCCGCTGGCAGGCCGCCGGTGCCAACGCCAGCGATCCTTTGGTGACAGCCACCAGAAGGCCACCGACGAGACAATGGTGGGCTACTAGCGGTCCGCAAGTGGTAACATTGGCGAGAGTAACACGCCGGTGGTTCGCCAGCGGTCTACCAGCGGTAAATGCTAGTGGCATATCACCCAGTGGCAGATTACTGGCATTCGTATAGAGTAATAGTAAGTTATAATAGAGTAATATTAAGAATGCTAATTGAATGATTTATGGAAACATTCGACATTCATTGCTGTCGCTTGAAATTTAGAAAATCCTTCTCTTAAAACAATGTTTCAGCAAAATAGGTTTGTCAAGGCTGTTATTGCTCTTTCCAATATTGGTGGGAGTTTCCTTCCTAAACTTTTGCTTGAATTAGTGTGGAACTTCAACATCTTATGTCATTATTTCCTCTTCTCAAAGCCAGTACCTCTTATCGCTCTTTCCAGCATTGATTGGAGTTTCCTTCCTAACCTTTTCTCCGACCAGTGTGATACAACAACATCGTGTTTATGTCATAATCTTCACCTTTGAGTTACATGTGCTACCTATGTTAATTGGTGCCTCTGTTAAAAATTCTAATGTGCTGTCGTTTTTTCTATTTGGCATAGCTCTTTTTTAGTGATATTATTGCGTAAGTCCACTAGGTTCAAAGAAGGATCGCTCTCTTTAATAACCTGCAAACGTCATTCGCTCGAAACAATTTTTAATCATAATCGAAGCCATTTTTAATCATCGGCTTATGATGCGGTCGAAGAAATGAACGAACATCTTTATGGCTTTATTTTAATAACTCTAAACGTTTGCCTTCGTCGTTACCCGTAAAGTCAACTCTCAATCAAGGCAGCTGTGTGTGTTGTCTGTAGTCTCTAAAACGTCTACCTGCAATTTCTCAGCTGCATGAAAAATCGATCGAAAATAAACACCTCTCTACAGGTACTCCCAATATCTTTAGGGTGGTTATATACTAGGCATCAATTCTTGGAGGAAGCAAGATAGAGATGGGTGTGAGGAGAAGCGATTCCATAAACTCAGCTGACTTTTTCAACTCTGATATTACTCGGCTTTTGTCTTTGTAAAGCCAAGGAAACAACGAAACGAAGGCTCTGTCAAACATTAGAAATATTTATTATTTTTATTAGAATCCATTATAGGCGGCCACAATCTTAACAACATTAGATATGCAGATGATACCGTATCGATATCAGACACAGAACGGAAATGACAGGAAGCCATAAGAATATAATAAAGGAAAGTGAGAATAATAGCCTAAGCATCAACTGCAAGAAGATCGAATATATAGTTGCTAACAAAGGAAGCAGCCCAAAAGGGGAGAACAAAAATTGGCCCAGTTATGTACCATTGGTTCATAAGTGAATTTTAGTGTTAAGCTTCTTTCTGTTGTGGAGTGATTTCGCAGTGGAGGCTTGTATTTGTACTAAGTCGGTCCTAAAATAGGTTCGACGTACAAAACGTTAGGAACTTGATATAATAGGTAATGACGCAGAGAAATCTAGTTTTGGTCGCTGATACTTTAGTATCCGACTAACTGTCGTCCGATATCGACTGACCGACTACTCTTACTACTTCTACTTATTATAGGGGGGAGAGTCTATTAACTATAGAATAGGTGTGTTCCACCATAACACTTTCAAAAGTAGATTTTAGGTTTGCAATTTCATCTTTATTTTTATCAAAATGAAGACAGGATACAATGGGTGAATTGTCGCTATTTTATACTCTTTGTTTCGCGCATGCGCGTGGTCTATTTTATATTTTGTCGACTGTATCATATAGTAGGGTCAGTTAGGTACTGTCTGTGGAAAAAAAGCATCATGGCGCAATTCACTTCGCCAGAAATTTGGAAACGGCATGTTGCACTGCTTGGCATTAGCGCCGAAAGCTCCAATACGAACATTTCAGAGTGTTGTGTGCAGCGGTTTAAGAAACAGTTGGAACATATATCCTGTCAATATCATGGTGTTTGAAGTGACCATCAGGGATGGCGACGTTATACCTCCATTTATCTTACCACAGGGACTCAAACTCAACAAGGAGGGCGACATCAAGGGCCTTGAGAAATTACGACTAACCTGGGTCAAGAGGGTGAAGCTGGAAAACCCAATGTCAGTTAACAGGACTCTGCACGATCCCACAGAAGCAAGAGAACGGAGTCATAGCTGGCAGACAATGTCTGTGACTACATCAACTTATACATCTGGCCACTTAATTCACCAGACTGCAACGGGCTTGTTTAATGTGCGAGGCGCAGTTAAACTAGAGCCCCTCTCTCCGCCAAAAAAAAAGAATTCCTTGTAAAATGAAAGCTGAATACAAGGATTTACAGCAACATTCACGATCTTAAACAAGGAGGCCATCCAGAAGTGTTGCAGCAGATTCCGGAGTCGTCTGGAGGGCGTGGTTGAAGCCATTGAATTTATTGAATAAATTTACTCCTTAACATTTCAAGATATTTTTTGTAAATATATCCGTTATAACGAGATGGCCAGGACATATCCATATATATATATATATATATATATATATATATATATATATATATATGTGTGTGTGTGTGTGTGTGTATGTATGTGTGTGTGTGTAGATAGCTTGATAGATAAATGTGTCTCTGTCTGCAGAGAGAGAGAAAAAAAATTCGCAACAATAAGATATATGTATACATTTCTAACGGATGGTAAGTGTGCAAGTGACCGTTTTTTTCTTGTATTATTCTAGATGATTCCATCGTGTATGCAATTGCACAAAGGAATTTCTCCTATATTTCGTCATTGTAAAATCCATACATTTGCACAGAGGATGGCTTTCCTTTGCTTGATTCGATGGTCGCACACCCGCACGCTCTACACATATCAGTGTCTCCATTTCCCTTACTGAAAGCTTTCTTTTATACTTCACAACCACGTATGCATTTTGCTTTTTGGTTAGTTTTTGTTTTATTTTTTTACTTTAAGTTTTATTTTTTTCTGGGCACATTTTTGACTTCAGGCGTCTAGCGATCAAAAGTGCTTCATTATTACCACCGGCATTCAGAAAAAAAAAAAATAATAATAGACATTATTTCCATATGACCGTGACATATCGTCAGGATCACGACATGATGTTTCTCATTTATAATATATTTATTTATTTTTATTTTTCTTTATTTTTGACATTTTCTTTCTTTATTTTTTCTTTTTTCTTAATGTTTTCCTGATTTTTTCTCTTCTGTCGATTGATATTTGATCCGAGTGACAACTTGCGATGATGTTCGGCTATCTTTAAAAGACTGTCAGAAGAGCAGAAATCGTTTGACACCGACTTGACTATAAACAGAATATAGACGGTCAGCATTAGAATTTATTTTCTCAATTCGAATGCTTGTTACCATCAATACGGATGACTGACCCGTCACCTTAAGAGACAAGTCAGACCAAAAATTGAGTATTGGTACCATACTTATGCTCTAGTTGTCCAATATTTTCCTTCTACAGTCGACAGGGTTCAAAACATTTAGGCGGCCTTGTATTTGATTAAATATTTTTCACCTTGTAACCCCTATCGACTGATATAACGCTCCAAGCCATTCAGTAGTCTACAGTTATTACCATGGAAGCGATTCAAGGAACTACATATATTAGCTACATCTGTTCAAAAGTTTACAGCTAAGACACGGCATACAATGTAAACAGACGAGAATTCTGCTCAGGTTCTTCACTTTCCATTAACAAGAAGGTAATACCAGGAGCCGCTTTTTTTTTGGGGGGGGGGCAGATCCTTCCCCGACTACTCATTTAAAATCCATTGTCAACCGATATCTATCTTACATATTATTCTAAAATACTTACAACCGTAAAAAACATACGACATACCTCTATTTTGACTAACGCTTGTTCCTTTTATTGTGTGACTATCTTAAAAAACTGCTTGCGTTTCTAGAAAACTAAAGGGAATTATTTTGAGCTGAGTCGCCTCTAAACGTGCAGCATATTAAACAGTAAATCCTCCTCCTTCTCCTGGATAAGTCAAATATCAATATAATATCACAGGCTGTTAGATTAATGAATTTATTTTGTTCTTGATTCCTAAGAATTGTGATTGCTATATAATATATACTCGGATTAATAAATTAATCTTTGTTGTTTAATTACTCGGATAATAGATTAATCTTTTTTTGTATTATTAAGTTCTAACCTTTGTTTTTCAAGTTCTTCTTACAGGGGATTTAGGAAGGAACCTTTATTTTCCTGCGTTAAAACGTACGCGCCGATCCTGATTAGTTATATGTCGTCTGTGTAGTACATGCCTGATAATAAATACTTCTGTACTACTCGGACTAGTTACAATTGCTATGTCACTAAATTGAGGAATCAATGCTTCAGTTGTGTACATAATTATTCTATGTGTGAATCCTTACGTAAAAAAAACTTTAAACCTTAAATCTCGTATTTATATTGCTTCAATTACTGCTCCTATAACCTTGCTGTCAAGCTTTACTCTCTTTGCCACCGCTTTTCTTTCTTAATGCTGCTGCTGAAGACTTGCTCTTAATTTTATCTCTCTCCCCTTTCATCCTTTTTCTTTCTTTCTTTCTTTCTTTCATTCTTTCTTTCTTTCTTTCTTTCTTTCTTTCTTCCGTTCGTCCTAGTCTCCATAGGGTATTTACATCTATACTAAGTCTACGGATAAGACCGCCATACCCAAGCATATTGGCCAATTCTTCAAACATCTGATTCCTCCCAAATGTTCCGTTTGGTTATCATGTTTCCATGTCTTTTCACGATATTCTATTGGCTCACACTTAATTTCAGTTATTTGATATTCCCTGGGGCTTGCTAACACCGTATGTTGAATAAATGCTTAGGAATTGCCTGTATGTTACCCGAATTCACCAGACATCTGAAGAAGGTCGGAGGTTAGAACGACCGAAACGCCTAGATGAGAACAAAAAAAAAAATAAATAAATAAAAGAGGAGGACATTATTCCAGATATTAATAATGATAATATAATAATAATAAATTCACATCACGGGAATTCCCATGGAAACTCGTTATGCGCCAGATATTTCCACGTTCAGACATTATATTCTTGCCTCAATGTTATCCGTCGCTAGTACACCAAAGATATTTTTATATTCTTTTATTAACTTTATTTATATCTCATAATCATTTACTTCTTTCGGTTACTTGATAACATTTTTTCAATATGTTTTAGTTATTTTTCTTTTATCGATTTACACTCGCTTCGATAATCATTAGTGATGAAGCTGGGTTTAGGTTGAACATATGTCAGAACAACAGAAATCATTGGATAGTGCTTTAAGCATAAGCAAAATTCTTCCAGTCAGGTTTAATCCATCTTTTCCAAAATCACGTGTTTTGTTTTCGTTTTCTTTTCATTCAATCAATACAGATGAGCGTCGCGTCTCAAAGGCAGCAAAGCTCGTCTGAAAGACATTTACTATATTAAAGTTGAATCCTCACCGAGAGTTTCTAATTAATGACCAAATGCCAGACGAAACTAATCTTGGCAAATAGATCGCCTAGCCCTGGTGTAATCTCTTCTGTCACACGACGTAGACAAAAATGAAGACATGAAAGCGGCGAAATATTGATGAAACACGACGTAATATCAAATGAAAACTGGCTTCTCAACATTAATTTTAGTGATGAATTTTAATCTACCTAGGAGGAATACGATGGCCAGCATAGAGGTTGGTCATTAGTGGAAATAGCCACACACACACACGCAGAAAGACACATGACGACATAAGCAAGCAGAGAGAGATTGTGAGACAGCGACACACGCACACACATTTAGTGACAAACAGCGACAAACACACACACATACACACACATTATATATATATATATATACATACATATATATATATATCAAGAAATAATCATACATAGAATCAATCAGCATTGTTAATGCGAATAATGGCGAAATCACTTCGCTAGTAGAACATAATGTATGCATTAAAATACTGTTAATCCATTGAAGGATGTGATCCTCATTTATAAAACTGAACTGTTGTCAGATGTTTCTAGTGTATATTTTTTTAAGTTAAGCAAGTATTTTCGAAGATCCATGTCTTCATCATCAGGCTGTATTTTTTTTCCTTTAGAGTTAAAACTTGAAGACGAAATATATTCAATATATATATTCAATGAAAACAGACAACTTTAAAGGTCTATTGGTTATATTTAATTTCCCCAGAAAATTTCTTTTTCCCTGGCTTATCAGACCACAATTCCAAAGGTGAAAAAATGAAAACAGTATAATTCCACTGACCGTAGCATTTAATTTTAAAAAGGGGCTTTTAAAATTAAAAATAATTATTTATTCACCAGCTATTTACAATCGCCTGAAGAGGCACAGCTTAGTGCTGAAACATGAAAGCTATTGGGTATCGATATTTAACATGTTTTTGTTTTAATCTGCTAATATATATATATATATATATATATATATATATATATATATATATATATATATATATATATATATATATGTGGCACCATGCATAATTAGAAAACTGAAAAGAGATATTCATAAATATATGATTTATTTTTTTCGGTTTGTTAACCATTTGATAGTTATTTAGAGATGAAGAATATTTGGGTTTTGAGAATAATTCTCTAATTGCGTTTAGGCGATCTGAGGGAAAGAAAGAGAGGGAAAGAAAGAAAAAAGAAAGAGAAGTAGATGGTACAAAACCCGGTCATAAGCACACACGCTTAACTGACACATAACAGGTGTCAAAAGATATCTAGGTCAAAGAACCTGATCGAAATCCACGAAAAATGGAAGTTGTTATAATTGGTTGAAGAAATAGAGTTTAGAGATAATAAAAAAAAAGAAAAGGAAAGACAGAAACATAATACGAAACAAGGTCGTAAGCGAAAACACACACGCTCGACTGGCACATATCAGATGTCAAAATTATCAGGTCAAGCACTTGATCTAATTCCGTGTCCACGGAAGATGGAAGTTTGTTAAAGTTGGCTGAAGAAATAAAATTTTAGGGACAATGAAAAAATATTGATAAGTAACAAACGAAAAGGGTGTCATTGAGATGATAGGTAACAGATGGGGAAATGTATACGAAAACAAAACATTAATACACGGAACCCAGACAATTTCTGGGGTTGAAAAAAAAACACCTAAAGTGAAAATGCTTTTTGAGATAATGTAGATTTTATTATCAGCCAGAGAAAAATGGAATATTTGTATTAGCTCGCGAGAGACGCCGACAGGTGTAGGAAAATCCCTTTCTTAGATCGTATCCAATTAGCGGCAGGCTGTTTTGACAGATGCCACGTGTGGAAGGGACCGATAGCGTCATTCGATCGTACGAAAAGGACAATTTAAATTTTGTTTTTTTTAAGCAATGTGTTTCTTCCCCCAGAACAAAGCCCCGGATTGTACACGCCCGATTAGAGACGTCACGAAGGAAGGAGGGAAGATACCGACCAGAGTCTCATTAGCCGAAGACAGTCACATGATACATGAGGGAGGAGGAGAGACACCCGACCAGAGTCTCATTGGCCGAGAGCGGTCACGTGGTGTGCGAGGGAGGAGGAAAGATGCCCGACCAGGACCCCATTGGTCGAGAGCGGTCACCTGACATACGAGGGACCAGGGGAAGCGGGTATGCGCCTCCCCCCAGAGGCACAGTAAGGAAGTAGGAGTGAAAGTATGAGCGATAATGGGAAATACCTAATCAGAAATAATGCGACTTTAGAATTATCAAAGAAAACCTGGCGCCGACAGACCCACCCCCAGTTTGTTACGGCGTCAATAAAAAGCAGGACCCCAATCGACAGAAATCAGTTGGAGTTGGTTGCGCCTCGGACGAAGAAGAAGTTAACTTGCAGTTGCGCCTCGGAGAAGTTGGAATCAAACCAAGTCGAAGTGAAGAAATTCGCCCAACTCAAGCCGAAGTGAATAAGCTCGTCCAACTCAAGCCGAAGTGAATAAGCTCGTCCAACTCAAGCCGAAGTGAATAAGCTCGTCCAACTCAAGCCGAAGTGAATAAGCGCATCCAACCGAAGCCGAAGAGAAGAAGTCGATTCGCGCACTGACGGCGAGAAAAATCAGCCGTGAACGACAGGTAGAGATCAGCGCCCAGTGTCGAAACCAATCCACACCCCGAAATCCAAATTTCTAGAGAGTAGGCAACTCGAAGCCTTAAAGTTGTATGGTAGAAAAACTTGCCACAGTCCACAAAACGGGTCGGGAGGTAGGAATAATCTTGTGTAACGAACCATTAGATATAAAAAGTTGTTACCTTTTCTTCAATAATTTTTTTTACCTTGTGAGTTTTTCTTTTTCTTGTGTGTTTATCACCCCGTTGAACTCAGCTTGCATACGGCCCCAATCCCTGTTTGATCCCGTCTGTCTAAGATCTAATCCCAACGTGGGTAGGCAGACCAGAGATCAGTGCAGTTACCCTAGTAACCAGGCGTTGGAAGCGAGTTGGGAACGGCGAGGCTGGTATTCATCTAACCAAAGGGTTAGAACGTCACACTTGGAGCAGCGAGGAGGGAACAGCTGACGCCGCGGCAAAGAAGTCACATCTGGTGTCGTGACCATAGGACCAGAACCCTGGACCACGTCACGTCACAGTTGGCGCCGCGAACGAGATCGAACGACCGAGTCGACGCTGCGACCAGGGGGCGACGTCACACACATATATATATATATATATATATATATATATATATGAATAAAAATGACAATAGGAAAACTGGTAATTGCTGACGCGTTTCGTCCAATGTGGACTTTATCAAAGCAAAATACGAAAATGAAATTAAATGAACAAAGTAACTAATAAAAACAAAAACAGAATGTACCTAGCATCTGGAATGTAGAGAAACGCTATTTTCATATTTTTTAACTGAAAAATAACGTCAGAGATTGTCACGTGTGGAGAATTCATAAATATTGTCTTCTCTACCGATTAAATCGGAGAAATTTCATATATATATATATATATATATATATATATATATATATATATATATATATATATACAAGAAGTGTTCCAATAACTTTGATGTATTTTAAATGTGAATTATGTTTAAACGTTTCTTTTTCCTTTATACTTGGCAGACATTTGGCCGATATTACTTTTCAGTTATAATTGCTATGACTTAAATAGCAAGAGAGAACACTTTGTGCCTTCCATCAGCATGGCTAATGCTGACCTCCAGTAGACTGATACACTGCGTCGTCTCGAGCTAAAGTTTCCTTTCACATAAATTAGAAAGATTATATTGTATCAACTGCTTATTCTATTGCTAGTTATGTTGGTCTATTGTGTCGTGCCTCCAGCTAGGATCGAAACCCAACTGAAATGGCATCAGTCGGGGATTCTACCACTAAACCGTTGGCGCACAGCAGGGATGAAGGTGAAGGTGAATTTAAGTTTATTTATTTTTAGATCAACATATAGTGACTGAGAGAACTCGATTCGATTTACCGAAGAGTCTTGCCTTATTAGCTGTAGTAGTCACTGTTTACAAACCAAACTTCCTCCCCCAGAGAGTTCAACCGAAATACATTTTCAGGTGCATATATATATATATATATATATATATATATATATATATATATATATATATATATATATTAATTCATTGAGCCTAGAATAAAATGCAAAACATACAGAAATCACTGGACGGTAGTTTCGTTCTATATGGGACTCATCAGCAGAGCGCATCCACTTTGGATCCAGTTTTTATAAACGCAAACTTCATACCAACTGTACCCCACCTCACGAGCATTAGCGGTGTCAACCAAGAATATACAGTGATGAAAATTTGAGGATTTAGAGTAATCATATATAGTAATACATCGAGCACATAATAATTATCAACAGAATGTAGACATCTATTTGGAACTCATCACTACCAAGAATCGAGCCCAGACCGTTTCGATACAACACAAATGTCATACCAACTGTACCACGGGTCTCTTGGGGTACTGTTCCGTGAGTATTCACATACTTGGCGGGGTATCACGACAGAACTGTGTGAGTAGCCGTGCTATATTAAGTCTAGCCAGTTTCTTCTTCGTCACCGAGGCCACTCTATCTCTCACTATATATATATATATATATATATATATATATATATATATATATATATATATATATATATATATATATATATATATATATATATATATATATATATATATATATATATATATATATATATATATATATATATATATATATATATATATATATATATATTTAAAACGTTAAAGATTAACTTTCTTAGAAAAGAGTCGGTGCTATTATTCCAATCAATTTCAAGCATTTAAATCCAGTATAGCTGCAAATCCATATATTTAGAACTTTCCTCTATATTGACACATCTCTTGGAATCCCAATTATTTAGTTTTCATTTCAGATGATAGAAAGATCAATAAATTCTATGCCAAATAAAGTAGAAAGTCCGCTGCATGGATAATGCTCGAATTTCGAAATGCATACACAACAATACGACTTTAACATAAATTACACGCACGCATATATATATATATATATATATATATATATATATATATATATATGTATGTATGTATGGATGTATGCATGTGCATGTGTGTATGAGTGTTTGTGTGTGACTGTGTCTGAGAGAGAGAGAGAGGGAGAATGTCGAAGGTATATCCCTGGCAAGTGTTTTGGCCCGACATTCTAGGGTTGGCCAGTCACAATCTGTTAACTAACTCATCATGGTTAAGTCTAATAGGCAAGAAGAACAACAAACGGAACTGATAAATTTTCGAACGAATAATAAAATGAAAATATAAGACTTTATTGAAGTGCCATTGGATAAATGTCATTACAGTTCACGGGAGAGAGCTATGCTTATGTGACTGATATATATTCTGAGTTTGTATTAGTATCATTGGGTATATAATATAATATTACGCACGGAATTTCATATCTATTTTCCTTTGGCTATTTTTATAGATTTGTATTATTGATAACAAAATAATAATAACCTTGCTGTTATTATTATTGTAACATTGAAATCGTGCCATGATAAAAACCTCATATAGACTTATGTCATATATATATTTCAGAATACCTACGTTTCTGAATTATAAAATATTTTTGTGTATGCCACATGTTTTCATCTTATCTTTCTTCTTTTTCTCTTTCTTCGTTTTCTTTTTTCACCTATTTTATTGTCTTTCTCACTTTCTTTACTTTTCTTTTCATTTTCTCCTACACTTACTTTCATTCTGTCTTATATCTCGACGTCTATATTTCTTCATATTATAATAATAGTAATTATTATTTTTTTATATTCTTTTAGTTCTTCTTAATATTCTTTTTCATCTTCTTCTTCTTCTTCTTATTTTTCTTCTTTGTCTTCCTCTTCTCCTCTTTTAGATTTCCTTACGCCTCTACATATTTATCTTCTTTTTCCTCTTCGTTTTCGTTTTACATTCCCATCTTGATGTGTTCTCACCTATCAAGTGACCCCTTCATCCTGATATCATCAAATCGAAACAAAAGAACATCCTTCCCGGGTAGCAAAGGTCAAGTGAGAATCCCAACTTATCCTTGCTCTGATTGTTCATTATTTACTTGGCACAAAACATTCAGCCTGAAACCGGTAGGCTGCAGTAGCGACCAAATTTTACAGACTGATATTTATTTTCTATGACAGAAGCAACCACCAGAAGAGCCGAGACAGCACATCTGTATTCCTTATCGATTGCCGTCTCTTTTGTGACGACCGTACGCTTTCTTTCTTGCACGTACTTCCTCGCTTCTTTCCTTTCAGTTTTAACTTATTTTCCATTCCAGCTATGACAGTTGGTTCGTCCAATCTTTCATATCCGCTTTTCATCGTCATTTCTTGA